AACTCCATCCCTTCCCTTCCCACACCATAAGACTGGAAGATATACATTGACCCATGATGTGTTGTATACATTGATCCCTTCAAACATGACCTCTTTGATCCCCTGGTTTCAGGTCCTGTATACACTAGGCCTGGTGTAAAAAAGCAGTCAGTGCATGGGATTTAAGTTTTGTGACCTGAAGAAGCTGGCCAATGTAGGTAAGAGATGCTAGTCCCCTGCGCCATAGGCTCATGGACCCGAACCAACTGCTACATGTCGGTTCGGTCCATTTCACCCTGCTTGTGAGGGTCAAAACCCTAGCGAACTGAGGCTCCTGGATGGTTTTCCTGGTCTTTTACTCTCCAGCTATGGCATCTCACACATCGGACCCCCGCATGAGTCCGCTCGTCACCGGTCGTTCCGGTGGGTCAAAGCGGGCCTCTCGGTTCAGGGCGCTGGCAGCCTCCAAGGTTTCTTTGATGCGATGCCTTGGTCGGACCGGCCAAATCCTGCAACACCTGACCGTGGTCGCTAGAGCTTGAGATGGCTTTTGGTGAGATCATGTAAGACCATGCAACATGAAAGGTGGACCTGGTTCGGAGGTTAAAACCCTCAGTAAAAAACCATGGTTGTTCAGGATTCAGGCTATCAAATCAGTGGGCCACGAATCAAGAGACCGCTCCAGAATGCCGTCAGCACACTGCAAAACCTAGGGATCCAAGTACCTCCTCAGGTGTTTGAACCCTCCAAACCCAGCCGAAACACCTTCTCAGAAGGTACTTGGAGCCCTAGAGACAAACATGAAGTGGATTGACTGGGATTCGCTGGGCCCACCAAAAGTGAATGCTTCCCACTTCCATCTGCTGCCGGTGGCTCGAGCAACGGAAACAACCACTCAACCGACACAACGAAAGCTGCCATGAGCCAAAAGAATCTTCGTTTCTCAAAGCACACTCACACAATCTCACACACCTAGACCCAAATACCTGAGAAAATGTCTACAAGCATCCAATACAAGTACCATTGCTTTTGGGGAACGGGAACATTTGGGAACCCTTCCCATTCTTGTGCCGAGCAAGTCCCTCTGGCGAACGTCTTCCACGGCCCGTTTTGCTCAACGCCGGTTGTGCCCCCAGACACGTAGGCGGCGTGCATGGCGGAGGTGGCAAGCACCGCCTCGGTGTGCGTGGCAGTCTTCGGGATCTGCTGACCCTCTGCGGCGTCCCCTGCGACCCAAAACAATCCATGTCTGGTTTACGTACCCTAGGGCTCCAGTGGTACCTTCTCAGAAGGTTGGTCTGGGGGTTTGGAGGGTCGAAATACCTTCTGAGGAGGTACGACTGGAGGCCTAGGGTGAGTGTACGTCTCCCATCGCCTAACTCGGACGGTCACGAAGATCACCCACTCGGGTGATGTTCTGCATGTGTCTTACGCTCATCCCAATGTTTATAAGGTACATCCCAACAAAAACATGTCTACAGAACCCAGCTGGGGAATCGTTTCACTGGGAATCGTTTCACTGTCACAAGAAGCTATATATAGTAATTTGCATGTCTTTGAAGCTTCGAAGTAACGACCGAAGCTACTCGGTGGAGGCCATCGCTATAATTAGGTTGGAGGCCCTTGCTTGCTACTAACAATGAAGCTTAGCTAGAGTAGCTTTTCCCTGGCGCCGCACCAGGTCCACCCGTCCAATCCGCGCCTGGAACTTCGCCATGTCGCCCTCGTTGGGATCCCCCTGCCGAAATTCGAGGCTGTGGAGGATCCCAGTCCATCCATGGAACTGGAGCAGTCGGAAAATCGTGACCTGCGGTACACCTTCTCCGACCTTCCCTAGGGCTCCGAAACGGCTCCGAAACGGCTCCTCAGGTGAGGGACTGACCCCCCGCTGTCCCACCTTGGAAGGTCGGCCAGGAGGTCTAGGGATCAACCCCCATGGATGGTCTGGAATCCTGGCGTTGGACGGAGAGGGGTGGTGCTTCATTGCAGGTACAAATGCCAGTGCCAGTCTGAGTATTTAGGAAGGGTTTTGTGAAGGGCTTAGGAGGGGCGTTGAAGACCAGAGCCACCTGACTTGGCATTGGGGTGTCTATTTCCGAGCCTGGGTGCTGCTATGGTTTAATCACTGGTTTAATCATCTAAGTTCCTGAAGCCTTCCAAATACTTCCTGGAGCTTGAAAAGCTTCTTGGACCTTCCAACTATATCCTGGGACCTTCCAATTTAACCCTATAAATCAATGATTATATATATATATAGGGTAAATGTACATGACCCTTAGTGCGGTGTAAGAAGAACATAACTCTTTCTCCTTGTGCACCGCTGGTCACCTGCAACCTGGTCATCTGGCCAGACGGAGACTGGTACACCTTTCCAAGTTGGCAGCCCATCGAAGCAGGTGGAACATGACAAGAACCAACAGAGGTTTTTTCAAGACCCGAGTTCCTTCGACTATCCTAGGCCAGAAGGTACCCCAGGTTTTCGATCCTATGGTTTCGGTCACTACCTCTCTTGGAAAATCCCCAGGGTCGAAGACCATCAGGCCGTCTTTCGGATGTCCACGTGCGGCCCCCGACCGGCACGACCACGACCACGACCCTGGTCGGTGACCTGGTTTGGTCAGGAACTCAGGTACCCGGACCATCCTGGACCCTGATAGGGCAGCAGGAAGCCCAGCATTGGATTCCAGTCCCTGAGGTGCCAAAACCCATCTTCATGAACGTCCACAAGCTTGAGGTCGACGGTACACCATGTGAGGGTTTCACAGGCTTATGGTGTATATATGTAGTATAGAAATCTTGAGATACACCATCATGGGAACTTTCTCAAGGTCTTAAGCGTAACACCCGTAAGAGGCCAGTATTTGAGGGGATATATACAGCCAATAGACCTTGAGATACCCCCAGATGCAACTCTCACTAGCTGTCCACTGCAGGTAGCTATGCCGACACTGTCCATCGAGGACAGTAAACGACATGAGCAGTCCGTGTCCGGTGCGTTCTGTTTCCGCTCGAAGCGCCGAACCCGAAGCACCGACCCGTCCCGAACCGGCCACCTCCGCCAGGGCGCGCTCCGAGGTCCTGGATATAGAGGGACGAAGTCAACGACGACGAGGAGCGTGTCCCGAGGAATTGGTTGGTTTCTTAAGGAACACATTATGTCCAACTTGTGGATGTGGAGTGAATGATGTTGATGGCCATTTTAGGCCTTTTTTGAGGTGATTGAACAGGGAGCCGATCCATCGAATGTCTATCGGTCTATCGTTCTCATATTTGCTCATGCCAGAAACTGAGCAAAGAAAACCCTTGAGATGGCAAACCCTAGCTCATGATGACATGCTCTTTTGCTCTGCGATGGGCACGTCACCTGCTCGTTGCGCTCACGTCACCAATTCGCTCAGCGCTCACGCCCATGGCACCCTGAGAACTCCTCACTTACGCACGTGAATTCAGTCGCCTCCCAGCGAGCGATGAACCAAACCCTCACAGCCCGTTTGACCCTCGCGAGCGGGCGCTGGCACTCCTGGAATTCCAGGAGCTGGCCTCGTCCGTGCCGAGCTACCGAGCAAACGTTCGGAACGAACCGAACGAGCGTGGACGGGTTTGTTGGAGTTGGACGTCCCTCAGTTTCTTCCAGGTGACAATCCACGCCTGCCACCCTTCCTTCGTCCGGAAGTCAGGAAGTCCCAAACCTCAACACTCCATGGGACTACTCTATTTGCCGAGCAATTGGGGTGGTGCCAGGGGAGGCAATGGGGCGGCATGAACCAGTCCCAAACAGGTCGTGTGTGGGAAACTCCGCCGACGTTATGCTTCGGCCGATGGCTGCGAACCAAAAAATCATACGCCATACAAAAACCATAGACCCGTGACTGGCATCTTTGAGCTACAATTGGGGTGGTTGAATTCCGGGGACCATGTGGGTATCCATTCCATACATTGAGTGTCTAGGCCGAGTTAACATGGTTCACCCTGCGAACTATTAACACTATATTGAACCAAAAGAGTTCAAAAATATTGAACAAAAAAAAAGGGGTGTTTCTGAAGTTTCAAAAGAACCGGCACTCTCCCTGCTTGCCCTTTGCCGCACGGACGGAGCACCCAGAAACCCGTCGAGTCGCGTGCCTGAGGAGCCTTGGCCAAGACTTCAGGGGCTGAAGACCTGAAAACACCAAAAAACGAAGTCAATAAAGCTGAAAAATAACCTGCAGTTCATCTTGGATTTGCTGTCCAGGATCCAGATAAAAATAACATCTTCCCGCAGGCGCAGGTTAGGGGATTTACACAATTGGGAAAAACACATCACCTGATCCGCAAAACCAGGGTTCATAAACATGAAGAGTAACCATTCCTTTTGTAAACGCGCGTCGGTTTTTGTTGCAGGTCAGTTTCTTTCGACACACGACTCTTTACGGAGGTTTTCAGGACCAGGTTTGTCTGACTGGGTCAGACTGGACTTGTGTAGGGAAATGTTCTTTCATTTGCTGACTACTCTACCGCAAGCTAATCAACTGTTGTTTGAATCCCGCAGAGGGGGTTTTGTACAAAGGGAGAATAACAAATCACCAGACCGCTGCAGAAGCCACGGCAGTACTGAAAAAAATAAAAGGACCGGATAACCCCACATGATAAGTTTTACAAATTTCACATGTATATGAACATCACATGGGAGACGGAGTAGTGAGATGAAAAGTCAAGAACGAAGCGTGAGGAGAAGGTATATGAGGCGGTTGTGCTAAGACGTGTAGTATAAGTGATGATGTGATGGACGAGGATGAGAAGGAGGGGAGGGAGGAGGTGTGTGTGTGTGTGGTAAGATGGCGTGCGTGTGTGTGTGGGTGTGTGATAAAGTGTCTGATGATGTGATGAACAAGGATGAGAGGGACGAGAGAGAGAGAGAAGGAGGCGGAGAGAGAAGTTTGGAGGCTCTGGATTTTGCGATCAGATCCGCATGAGACCTTCAAAACGTAACACACTCGAAACGACCATCAAAGCTATCAAGTGCATTGCCAGTTCACGTGGTGTCACCCTCTATAAGAAGGCAAGACCGGTTGAGCTTGTTTCAACCATCTGGTTTTGGGCAGAAAGTACGCAACCGCATGCGCCCATTCCACCACCAGAGCGTCTAAATTCAAATCCTCAGTTGTCAGGTCAGTGAATCCGAAAATGTTCTTGTTGGATGCCTCTTTGGCCAGCCAGAGGAGGCGCCGCTTCATGAGCTGGATGAACTCATCAACCTTCACCAGGTGTTGCGCCAGTGGAGACAGAGTGTCAAAAACGGCATGTGGCTTCCCAGTCATCTCATCTTGCATTCTGCGGGCCTGTCTCTGAGCCCATTGCTCGATGTTTTTTGCACGCTTCGTCTGGATTCTGTCCATCGCCGAGAAGTGTTTCCACAACAGCTCATGCAGAAAGTTGAAAATCCTGTACATGGAATGATACCGGTACGGTGGCATATGTTTCCATTTCGTCTTCTGCATCTTGTGCGATGTTGCGTCCTCCAAATGCTGCTGCAACGGGTAACTCTGTGTCTTTGGAGGATAATGATACTGGTTACCAGCTCTGTCTTCGAAGGTTTCATAGTAGTTCAGCCCTGTCTCAGGGAGAACCGGCAACAACATTCCATATCTCGTGCAGAGGTGATGCCAACGACTCCACTGATCTTGGTCCTTGGAAAGCAGGTTTCCAGACTCCACCGTCATACCCATCCTGGCTTCCAGAACGAAACCAGCACACACCTCGCAAAGTGGAAGATCGAGATTCCTCCAAAAATGTTTTCGCGTCCGCATACTGCTGGACCAAGGCTGCATCAACAAACAGACCGTTGATGTATTTCGGAAAGAAGCAGTCCAGCTGAGTCTGCAGCATAGGTTTTCCGTGTGTACAAACATCTGCCGAGACGTCCACGACAGTCGCACGCACCGATGTCAACCAATCGTACGTCAGATGCTGCGCTGCAAGCAAGGACCGCATCGGACCCCATGCCAGCATATACTCTCCGATAAACATAGTGAGCAAATCCACGCCCGTGTTCCGCTGCTCGGCGTCGTCACGCGTAGAGTCCTACAGGCTACAAGAGACATATATTTACGACAGTCCGAACAATCGCATGCGTCCTGTTCTTGTTCACGGTCTCTGACCGAAGCAGGCAGATCACTACGATACGCCTCGTCAATGTCATCGTCCTACAGGCTACAAGAGACATAGATCTACGACATGCGGCGCAATCGCATGTGTCCTGTTGTCGTTGACTAACACGACGCGACACACCAGCCTCAGGCACCCAAGACATGTCTGCTGCAACCACGTGAGTTTCTGTGATGACAACCCCCCAGAGAACTTTCAAAGCAAGATTCAGAACGGTCGCGCGGGCTAAACTAGAGAACTGCAAATCACCCAGAGGATCCAAGATCAAAAAAACCTGATCCAAACCATCGTTTTTAGATCAAAATTTCAAAAGATTGATCTTTGTTGTTGTAAGTGTGAAATTGTGATTTTAAAGATTAATCTTCTAGATCAAGATTTTCTCAAAAACGTCACTTAGGATCAGAAATTGTTTGTGCTTCTGAGGGGTGGCTCTGAAGAGTTTTGCACTTCTGCAGTGCCTAGTGCCTGTAAAGCAGAGAGGAAGCTTACCCCTTTGTCACACCAATCCTTTCCAGAACCTGCAAAACATCATCAATCTGTACTTCTCTGTGATCTTCACAGACAGAGACAAGACTCTGGTGCCAAAGGAGACGCTGTGGCCCAGTTTAGCCATTCTGCCCACAAAGTCTTCAGCTCTGAATGCCCATGTGAAAGTGGGGTTGTCAAATGCCAGGCTCATGGCAAGGTGCTTCCCATTGTGAAATTTGGGTGTGCTGTGCCATTGGTGGTCATTGACACGGTTCAATTGAAGCCACTGGTAATGATCCAGGGAATCCATGTATAGCTCCAAAGCAGCGTCAGCTTCATTCTTTGTAGGATGCCTTCCTGCAATATCCATCAAATCTTGAAAGCTGGCCATGGATTGGAAGAGGCCGATGACCTTCAGGTCAATATCTGTCCCATCAGAAAAATCAACAGCCAGTGCTGCAAAGATGGGGACCAGCCCTCTGCACTCACCAGCTTTCAGCCTCATGAAGGGTCTCTCCTGGTGTGGCCTCTCGGTGTCAACAAACATTGACAACTTCAGTGTGTTCAAGCAGTTGGTGATGTTGTACTCTTTGTAGTACTGCTGGATTTTGCCAAATATGGTGGCCAACCTGGCTTTGGGTGTGCCTTGCAAACCTTTTGAATGCCAGCACCAATGCTTCAAAGCATTCCCCATGCAGTGGGACAATACACCTTTGCAATACAAAATATGCATTGCATCTTGGCAAACATTGAAGTGGCTGAAGCCAGCAAGGGTGAAAAGTGGATGGTGGCTCAACCTGCAATTATGCTCTTCTTCCAAAGTCCGCATTTTCTCAGCTGGGATTGGGGAAGCCAAGCATTCCATGCATTCAGCTTTGAACTGCTTGCATTCAAAGCATGGTTGGGCATTTGCCCAATGTGGCAAGTGCATAGAGTTGCTATAGTGCTCTTGGTCGCCAATCAAGCTCCACAAGATGAATTTGTATCCACCTGCAATGTCCTGCCCTTCTCTTTCACCACACTGAAGCTCTTGAAATGCAGGTACAATGTGGGCCCAAAAGTGGTCCCAAGTCTCTTGCGCACAAATGTCTTTTGGAAGGGCTGCCAAAAGGAGGCTTGAATCCAAGGAAGGGCCACCATTCAGAGCTGACCCCCAGCTGTAGACCACCAGAGAATGGGAATCAGTGTATTCTACTGCATCCCCATGGAGCCAGCATGGGATTGCTGTTTTCAAATCATTTATACCAATGCTTGACTCTTTGAATAGCATTTGCAATTTCGGATCATCCTTGTGGACCCCTTGCCAAAAAGCTTCCAAGCCAGCAGGGCAAAAGATGTTGTCAAAGTGCTCTTTGCTTTGGTACAAACCAGAGACCACATTGACAGGGTCAAAAAATGACAGCTCTGCACATTCTTTCTTGGCAGTACTTGGGTTGGTGAATGGGCACTTCTGTATGCTGCAAGGCAATGCATAGCTTGCTTTGCTTTGGGAAATCAAATATGTTTTCATATCTCGGCTGATGTTGTTGGGGTGTGTGCCCCAGCTCCCACAACTAGCAAGCCTGACAAGCTCTCCTTGTTGCAGGCCATCTTGATGGGCTGCCAAAGCTATCCTTCTCCCAGGCTCCAAAGCTGGAGCAAATGGTTGAAAAGTGCTGACTTCTCTTGCCCATCTGTGGCAGGCCCAGAAGGCACACCCAAGGCTTGTTTGTATCCTGGCATGCTTGAGGGTAAGAAAAGCTGCCAACACCAAAACTCTCAGTGAAAGCACACATTATTACACACCTCTCCTGCAAAGGGGTTATAAGGTGGGCCTCTTCTGCAGAGGTTTGAGTCTAGGCTGGGTCTCTTCTGCAGAGTTTTGTTTACAACCTTCTCCAAGGCACCTTTTTTTAACTGAGGAAACTGAGTGGTATGTTGCCCATGTAGCCTTTAGCTGACCAACCCAGCCTCTTCATTCACCCTTCAGAATTAAGAGGCTCTGGACTGGAGTCAGGCTACAAGCAGCTCAAAAGCTGGACCTCACAGTTGGAAGTCCTTCTTCACTTTGCCCAGCTTGGCTGTAACTTCTTCGCTGAAAGTGCCAAAGGCCTCATTCGTCCATCCCTCTTCTTCCAGCTTCTTTTGGAACTCCTTGCGCTCAGAGAAGGCATCAGTGAGTGACTCTGTTTTTGCTTTCCCTTCAGTGGCCAAGGCAAAGCAGCCAAGCTTGCTCACAGTCTTTGCAACTTGCCCCTTCAAGAGGTTGATCCTCTTGATGTCCACCAGCTCTTCAGGGTCTAGTTTGCCCTTGTTCTTTCCCTTGCCTTTGCCCTTGTTAAGCAGCCCTTTCTTGCCGGAACCTTTCCAAGTACCACTGCCAAAGACAGACAAGTCATTGAAGCTGGTTGTTGCACCAAAGGCTGTCCAGTTATGGTCCCACTCCACCTCATCCTGCTCTTTGCTTTCAGGCTTGAGCTGCTCCTTCCCAGTCCTGGACAAAGCCTTGCCCCTGGCAAGCTGCTTCTGCACCTTCACCTTGTTTGTGTCTTGGTAGATCCAGACACCAGGGGTGTCTGGGCACTCTTTGGTGATTATTCGACCGGACTCAAGGTGTGCACACACCTCCTCTTCAGACCACTTTGTAAGGATTTCAGTCCAAGAGAGCCACTCTTCCTCCTTCACCATTTTTTGGCAGCTGCTCACATTGTGGGTCAAGCTTTGGTAGACATCACTCATGGTTGGGTCTAGCGTGTAAGATCCAACCAATGTCTTCCAATCGCTCCTTTTCACTTCCTTTGCAGCTTGGTCAACTTCAGCTTCATTCTTCCTGGCGGTGTTGAACCTACCATTGAGGCAGTTCCATTCTTTTGATGACAGGCTAACCTGCATCAGTTGCAGCTTCTGCTGGGGTGTCAAAGTTTCATCAGCCTTGAGCAGCTCCAGCTTTGCATTCAAACTGTCTGTTTTTGACAATTGGCTGGCCAAGGCGCCGCCTCTGAAGGAGGTTGTTCAGAAGAAGGCCTGACCTCAGAAGTCAAAGTTGATCCATCAATAGAGGCATGCTCATTGCCAGAACCATCACCTGTCCCTGGGCAAGCCTTCTTGACACTACCAGACTTGGCAGCTGCAGGCCTCTTCATTGCAACACAAAAGTCTAAACAAAGTCAATCACTCAGGCTTGGTGGGCTAAAGTGCTGCGGGTTTGGTGAAAATTTGTTGAGCAAATGTCCCTATCTGTTGAACAGATGTCCCTATCTGTTGAACAGATGCCCCTGTCTGTTGAACAGATGCCCCATCTGTTGAACAGATGTCCCTATCTGTTGAACAGATGTCCCCATCTGTTGAACAGATGTCCCATCTGTTGAACAGAAAACTCTATCTGTTGAAGAGGTGCCCCTCTCTGTTACACAAACATTGGTATCTGTGTGGCAAAGGCTTTGCCTGTTTCATTGTTAAGAATTGTTTTGACCCAATTGCAACATACTTGCTACATATGCTTTATCAGCACCACTTCTGCAGTGGGCTGGGTTGCAGTATAGGATTGGAGAATGGGTATGTGAAGCGCCACTTCTGCAGTGGGTTGTTCCTAAAGTTTTGGAGACCTACACTTGCGCAGGGTTTGTCCTCAGGTTATTGCTTGTGTCTTTGAAGAAAGGAACCAGCAGCAGCTTTTTTCATACGGCAGGCTCTTTGCCTAGCTTGTCAAGACCTTGAAGAGCTCCACGTTGAGCCTAAGCTGCCAAATGCAAGTTGAACCTTATAGGGATCATCCAGGATCCTTGAGTTGTTCCGGATCCAGTCCTGCCAGCCACTCTGCCAAAAAATAACACGGTAGAAGCCTGGTGTGTTGTTGTATGTAGTCCACTGCCTTTTCAGCACCTTGTCACCAGGCCATTGGGTCAGCATCCCCGGATTGTTTCTCTGGTAGGTCTGTTTGTTGCCATAGCTCCAGAATAGTGCAATGTATTCCTCGCCATCTTTCTCGGTCAGTGTAAAGTCATTGATGATTCACATGTTTTGAGCCACCACAGGCTTTGTTTTGAGCTGTAAAATGGCTGCAGACACACAGCAAATTGCAACTTGCTGCAAACAATGCTCTTCTGTCAAGATCCCATGAGCTATGTGACAGTCTTGTCCTCCCTTCTGCAGGGATTTCATGAACCACCCCTTCTGCAGGGGCTTCACCCACCCACAACAAAACACAAACTTTTTCCTAAGCAGGCAAAGCCTTCAAGCTGGTCATTGAGGCAGCACAGTTCCTGTGGAATCATCAAACTGTAAAGTCACAGGCTGCGCTGGAGCAGCTTTGCCTGGAGGAGCTTTGCCTGGGGCTGGAGAAGCAGCAGGAGCAGCTTTGCCTGGAGGAGCTTTTCCTGGGGGTGTTTGGGGCCACTGCCAGGTGGACCACCATGGTTGCTACTCAGCTCACTTGCAGATTTTCCCAAAGGCATGGGCAAACGCACTTTTCTTTTTCTTTCCAAGGCGGGACTGTCTCTTCAGTCTCATGGCTTTCAGGTTTGGCCTTTGGTCCCTGAGACAACAGCTGCTGTTGGTACTGCATGAGCCTCTCACGCACTTCCTTCTCACTAGCCTGAGAAATTACTGGGGGCTGAACCATCACTGGCGCCTTTGGCTGCATTGCAGGCTGACAAGGTTGTTGCTGCCAATGAGCCTGTGGCCCCCAAGCATGCTGGCAGCCAACTTGCATGGGCAAAGAAGCGGTGCTCTGGAAGAACTGTGCTTGCTGCAGGCCAGAGCTTTGGAAGTGTTGGGGCTCAGGCTGCCAAAACTGGTGCTGAGGCTGCAAAAGCTGAGTCTGCAGGCCAGGGTTTTGGAAGTGTTGGGGCTGAGGCTGCCAGAAGTGTTGGGGCTGAGGCTGCCAAAATTGGTGCTGAGGCTGTAAAAGCTGAGTCTGCATGAAAGGCTGCTGCAAGAAGCCTGGCTGCTGTGTTGCTGCCACTGGCCTTTGGTCAAAATGCACCTCCTGGCTTTCTTGTGGCAGCTCTTGCTCCTCCAGCCACTTGTGCACTCTAGCCCATCCACCGACACCCTTTCTTTTCAACACAGAAGCAATTCTGTCAACCATTTGGTCTTGCTGCTCAGCCCTGCACCTCAGCCTTCTCTCCCTGCTGTTGTCCCATGAAGGTGGCTGCAGCTGCCAATGTGTATAGCCCCACTTTGAAGTGTGCAACCATTCATCCCAAGAGGCTTCATCCCAATCCCAGTGGTGCTTAGCGTCCCATTGCTTGTTTGGGTCTTCCCCAGGGGCACCAGCAGCTGCCATGGCGTGGTCTTTGCTTTTTGGGCCACCACAGTTGGCTGGAACAAATGATAAAGAAAAGAGATCGCACTCCCCCTCCTGTAGCGGTTCTACACTAACCGACAAATCCCCTTCTGCAGGTTTTTTTTACTTAAGTGAATCCCCTTCTGCAGGAGTGCTTTAGTTACCACTATCCCCTTCTGCAGGAATGCTTTAACTACCACTATCCCCTTCTGCAGGGGTGCTTTAATTACCATTATCCCCTTCTGCAGGGGTTGTCTGCTTAAACCTTTTCTGCAGGGAAACATGACACCATTTTTCTTGACAGGCAGCGCAATGCCAAGAGGTTCTTCCCCATCAAAGGCTTCATTGAGCCAACCCCATTGATGTGCAACAGTGACTTTCAGCTGGACATGGCAGTCTTAGCCTTCCAACACTTGTACCTAGCAACCAATGCAATCTCATCCTCTTTGCTTGTGTTGCCACAGGCTTTCTTGCGCAAGTCATGAATGACTTTGTCAGCCAATTCTTGCAAAAAGCTTTGGCTGTGTCCTTTGCCACCAAAGCTGAAGATTTGGCCAGCACACTTCTTGTCGACATACTTCTTGATCCCAATGCTGGTGCTATGCTTGTAGAAATCCTTCCTGTAGGTGACCAATTGGCCCTTCACGTCCACTGGCTTCTTCAAGTGCTTCTTGCTGGTCTTCACTGCCTTAGAGGCAGGCTCCTTCATAGGCTTGGGCATGGCCTTCTTGAAGGAAAGGTTCCGGGCTTGTTTTGAAGGCTGGTTACCACCTTCCTCACATTGAATCCCATCACTGCTGTTGAGGACCTCTGGAGGGGTGCTGAGGTCCTGCAACTTCTGAGGTGAAGTTTTTCCAGTCACCCTTTGGTGTCACCAGCTCTTGCCCCTTTGCACTAGTGCTTGCAGGCTTGGGCTCTGCATCAGACAGATTGCTCACAAGGTCCATGACTTTTGTCAAATCAGCTGCACTTGTCTTGGCAACCAGTTGCCTCTTCTTTTCGCTGTCCCTCTTTGCTCTTCTCAAGTGGTAGAACATAGTGCAAATTTTGTCAAATTTTTAGTGTGCCCAAAGAATGTTCTTCAAATTTGACTGATTCACCTCTGGCTCCATCGCACAAATTTTGAGCAAAGCACTTCTCACTTGAACAAGCAGGAACTGTCCAGAAGGTTGTAGGTTAAGCGTTGCTTTCAGCAAAGGGTGGTGCGTTGCAAGGCACTTCCCATCAGCAGCCTGTTGCTTGCCAATTGATTCATAATTACCAAAGTCGCACCAACTCCGATGGGTGTTCAACACCATGTCCAAATCATCTTGCTGCACAACCTTTGCCATGCTGTGAGGTCAAGTTAGTGGCATATACTTGATCCAGCAGGCTTCATAGTGCTTGGCAAGTACTGCTGTGTCCAAGAAGACCCACCTTCTGCAGGAGTATATAATGCCTCCTTCTGCAGGAGTATATCAGGAATATGTAAAAATTAGCATTAAAACAGTGATGCAATTATCGCAGCAAATTCTGATCCAACAGTTCTTTTGTGAGCAAAAACCATGGAAACTTAACAAATTCTGATCTAGAAGATTAATCTTGTAGAGCTACTTTTGACGCGAAAAGATTAATCTTTCAATCAAGATTGATCTTTTTTTCTGGATCATGTTTTTTTGATCTTGGATCCTCTGGGCACAATGGCAGTAGCGCAGAGACAGGCTTCACCAACACCCTCGCCGCAGGATTTACAATGCGATTCGCAGGCATTGATTGCCCTGGCTGTGCAAATCACAATGGCAGTAGCGCACAGACACACTCTGCCAACTTCCGTGCCGCAGCCATTACAATGCGATTCCGAACCAGTGAGAACCCTTGCTGTGGAAATCACAATGGCAGTAGCGCACAGAGACATTTTGCAAACATCCGTGCCGCAGCCATTACAATGCGATTCCGAACCAGTGAGAACCCTTGCGGTGCAAATCGCAATGGCAGTAGCGCACAAACACACTTTGCCAACATGCGTGCCGCAGCCGTTACAATGCGATTCGCAGGCAATGAGAACCGTTGCTATGCAAATCACAATGGCAGTAGCGCGCACAACCGTGAGGGGGCGCAGCGGCGACTCCGCGCGCCGCAGCCCCTTCTAGAGGCTCTGGAGACTGCGCCCGCCACTGTGGAGAGCTGGGGGG